ACCCTAAAGATAATTACAAAATTGTTGCAGCAGTACATTCACAGGGAGGTGTCAGGTGTCAGTCTTCCCTACTGACCAAGATTACACTCATATACCTCTAATGGATTTATCCAGCAAAATTATGTTTAATTTGTACTATTATTTTGTCTCAGGTGGTCATAATACTTAACTGCTGCCAAGATGTTAAGGAGAGTTGATAGTAAAATAGATTACGAGTTGGGATGCTAACCACAAGGTCAGTAGTATGAATCTACCGCTCCTCAGAAGAAAGATGAGGCATTCTGATCCTGTAAAGATTTACAGTCTTGAGGAACCTATACAGATTATTATGAGTTGGAACCAACTTGGTTACACACAACTACCACCAACAACCACCAAATCATCATTTGCTCCATGGAAGAAAGATAAGGCTTTCTGCTCCCATATAGATTTATAGCCTTGGTAATCCTATACAGGCTTATTATGAGTCAGAACCAGCTCAGTAGCAAGCCACTACCACCACCAACCACCAAGACATCATTTTAATACTTTAGGACGTTAACAAGTACAGGCATGCATACCTTGGAGACATTGCAGGTTCGCTTCCAGACCACTGCAATAAAACAAATGTCCAATACAGTGAGTCACACAACTTTTTTTGCTTCCTGTGGCATATAAAAGCTATGTTTACACTATACTCTGGTTTATTAAGTGTGTGATAACATTATGAAAAAGTCTGAAATATTGTGAGACACTAAAGGAGCATACATTGGAAAAATGATGGTGATACACTTGCTCAATGCAGTGTTGCTACAAACCTTTAATTTGTACAAAATGCAATATCTGCAAAGGGCAAAAAAGCAAAATGCAATAAAGTGAAGTATGCCTGTATAACAGATCATTGAAATCCTCTAATACTTTAGCCAGTTTGCTTTAGCTATTTTAACAGAGCAATAGTCTGCTATGATTGGCTGTTGTTAATTAGGTGCTGTCGAATCAGTTCTTACTTATAGCAACACTATACACAACAAAATGAAGTACTGCTTGGTACTGTGCCATTCTCACAATTATTGTTACAATTGAGATCATTGCTACTCCCACTGTGCCAATCCATCTCAGTGAAAGTCTTCCTCTCTTTTACTGACCCTCCACTTTACCAAGCATGATGCCTGTAATGGTTAGGGTTCTCTGTCAACTTGACTAGGCCAGGATGTTCAGAGGGCTAGCAGTTGGGATATGCTTATCCCCAAGGTGATGAGACCTAATGCAGGCATAATTAATTATGATGAGTGGCTTTGAGCAACAAATCAATTAAGTGATGTTTCCTTGGGGGCGTGGCCTGCTCCCAAATGAAATGGACACATAGGAGGGACTCTCTCTTTCTTCCACTGGGGACCTGGGACTCTGCAATTGTAAGTCATTTCCTTGATAATAAACTTCAATCTCTATATATACGCATATATGTTTCACTGGTTTTGCTTCTATAGAAAACCTAGCCTAAAATAATGTCCTTCTCCAGAGACGAGTCATTTCTGATAACATGTCTGAAGTATGAGAGATGAAGTGTTGCCATCCTGGCATCTAAGTAACATTTGACTATACTTATTATAACACATACTTATTTGTTCTTCTGGCAGCCCATGTTATTTTCAACATTCATCTTCAAAGCCATAACTCAAATACATAAATTATTTTATGGTCTTTCTCATTAATCATTCAACTTTCATGTGCTCAGAAGGCTATTGGAAATACCATGGCTTGGGTCAGACTCACCTTACTCCTCAAACTAATATCTGCTCTTGAACACTTTAGATTTGCCTAATGCAATATGTCCTTTGATTTTTTGACTAATACTTCCATCAGTGTTGATAGTGGATTCAAACAAAATGAAGTCTTTGACAGCTTCAATCTTTCCTCCATTTATCATGATGTTATTTATTTGCACAGTTATGAGAATTTTTATTTTCTTTAAATTGATGTGCAACCCACATGGAAGACTGTAGTCTTTAATCTTCATCAGCAAGTATTTTAAATCCTCTTTGATTCCAGGAAACATGGTTTTTCATCTGCATATGTTGCTGTGTTGTTAAGTGTCATTGAGTTGGTTCCGGCTCATAGCGACCCTGTATAGGGTTTCTGAGGAGCAGCTGATGAGTTTGAACCACTAACTTTGCAGTTCAAACTACCCTGCAACCCAGCGCATTAACTCACAGTGCCACACTAGGACTCCATCATCTGCTGATAGCAGGTTATTCATGACTCCCACTCTAATCCTAATGACAAATTCGTCATCATATAATCCAGTTTCTCCCTTCTTTGCTCAGCATAAAGACTGAATAAGTATGGTGAAAGAATACAACCCTGTCATACACCTTTCCTTATTTAAAACGTTCAATATCCTCTTGTGTTTGAATGACTACCTTTTTGTCTATGTACAGGTTTCTCATGAGTCCAGTTAAGTGTTCTGTAATATGCATTCTTCACAATGCTATCCATAGATTGT